CCCCCCCCCCACAGCCAAAGTTGTAAAGTTCGTTTTTCGACATAATTACTTGTACATCTCATTGTTGCAATGGGTCCACCTGTACCTTTAGGTTTATTAAATAATCTATCCCTCAGTATTCAAGTGATTGTAAAGGAGAAATCCAAGAAAAGCTGGAAAGGTAAGTGAAATCTTTCATAAGTTACTAATAACAAGTTAGAGCAACAAGAGATGTACTGATGCTTTAAACCAAAACTCAGAAAACTTGTTCTCAATAGGAACAAGGTAGATAAATTGAATGGGACTACCATCACCTATTATTGTATAATATATTATTATATATTAAACTATATATACTATATTACATTTATTATATATTATGTTATATAGTATCCACTATTCTTCCCCATCTACCCTTGCTCCTTTCTACCCTGAATAACATGTTTAGCAATATTCATTAATTTAGCACAAATAAACCCATTCACATTATTCTTCCTTGTAGTATCCAAATTTTTCCTCTTGAGAGCCAAAAAGATCAATTATGTGTGTGTGATGTGTGTGTGTGTGTTTGTGTGTGTGTGTGTGCGTGTGCACACATACATGCTAGTCCTGGGCTTAACTCAGGGCCTGGGCACTGTCCCTGAGTTTCTTTTGCTCAAGGCTAGTGCTCTACCACTTGAGTCACAGTTCTACTACAGCTTTTTGGTGATTACTTAGAGATAAGAGACTCATGGATTCTCCTGCCCCGGTTGGTTTAAACCATGATCGCCAGATCTCAGCCTCCTGAGCACCTAGGATTATGGGCATGAGCCACTAGCACTAACAAAGAGGAGAACTGCTTTTAAAGAGTTGCTTCAGAAATTGTCGGACGTTGTCTTGCTGTATGAGGGAGAGCGAGCACACTCTGGTAGCCTAGTGTGAGAGATAATGGGGTATATTTTCCCAGGGGCCACTCAGGGGCAACCCCACCGATTAAGTTCTAAGGTTGCCCATAAAGCCGCTAGCTTCACAGAGCTACTGGATGACTTGCCTGCCTAAGCAGCCCAACACCTTAGGATATTTGGGGTACTGAGATCAGCTCCAGCCCCTCAGGAATGCTCAGAATTTCCCTGGCATCCTTAATTATCCTTAGGAGGACCATTTGCTTTGTTAAATTGGCTAATTTTAAGAAATGGGATGATATTAATACACTCTATTGTGTATAAACATGCGTGTTCTTGGCACTTTTCAAAAATGTTCTGTCTTAGCTACTGTTAGTGACAACCTTAAGATGAAGGCACGATTTGCGTTTTTGTTTCCATTTTAAGAAATAAAGGATGTTTGTAAATTGCATTTTCCTCAGGTCTTGTTGTGCCAGTACCAAGCTGTTTTGATTACTATGGCTTTGTAGTAGAGTTTGAAATTTGTTCTTGGTATTCCTCAAGCACTATTCTTTCTGTTAAAGGATCATTTTTTTGCTATTTGGGGTCTTTTATTGTTCCTTATGAATTTTTGGATTGCTTCTTCTATTTCATTGAAGAATGAGGTTGGAATACTGATAGGTATCTCATTGAATTTGTAAATAGCCTTGG